TTATTTTTGGGATGATTGTACATATATGAAGTTTTATTTTATATCCAGAAACTTAATTATTTTCATTTTATTTGTACATGTATGTATGAGTTATCCAGCTTAATATTTCTCTTAATTTCACTAGCAGTAGTGCGATTCCACTAAGTGTAGAGACCATGGCGGATTATTACATATTTCATTTCCTTCTTCCTTTTATATGATATTTGATTTTTCATTTAGGTCCATACTAAGCAAAGGAATCGTTTGTTGCAAAAGACCATGAATGATGTAGTTTATGTCATGGCTAATTCTAAATTGAACAAAAAGCGAGTTAGGAAGGAAAAAAACTATGGTATTGAAGACCTTTCTTCCAATGATGATTGGATTGTAGAGGAAAATGATCAAATTTTAGATTTGAATTCCTTGAATGAAGACATACTTGAAGTTGGACAAGATGTTGGAACTAGTGGTGGTGGTGCACTTATGGATGATGTGGATGTTCCTCCTTTTGAAGAGGATAGATTAATTGGAGTTAGAATGGTGGGAGATGCTAATGCCATTAATGAGAATGAAGATAACATGGATGATGGTTGTCAAGAAGAAATTTATACTCTCCTAAATGATTAGGATGCAAGATTTCATATGAATTTATAATTGTTATGATTTTAGTTATTAAGTTTGGTGACTTTTTGAACTTTCTAATTTCTATTAAGAGTTGTTTAACTTTTTTTAAATATATTTTTGTATTTTAAATTTGGATATTATATTTTTAATGATTTAAGTAGGAATGTAGGATAATACAATCTAAGTTATGATTCTCGAATTATGATATTTTACCCTTTTTTTCGATCTTAAATAAAATCTCGATTTTAACAACATTAATGACAGCTTGCAATATTCCAACAAATACATAGAAGGTCAAGATATATAGCATAAATAAAAGGAAAATGAGGAGACATGGGAGTATTGGAATTGTAGAAGTGGATATAGGGAAATGAATTAGATTGTTTTAAAAGAGTTAATCATCTATATATTGTCGGTGTAAAATTTTTTACACTGACAACTAATTATATCTCTTAATAGTGGCATATCATTTACTTATTTAATCAAATAAAAGTAAAATAAAATAATTTTAATAATTTAATTGATTGTCCATATAAAAAACTTTATCGTGACAGTGTATGGATGATTAACTCATTTTTAAAACTGTTCTTAGGTGTTCCCGAACTACTCTTTGATATTCTCAAGTCAAATTGCTCTTTGTACTCTCAAGGTCGGGTTCAAATTAATGAGAGGTGTATTAAAATCTTGTAGACAGGAAACTTGAAATTAATTAATGGAAATATTTGAGAAGAAAACAATCGACAATAGGGATGGCAACGGGGCGGGGCGGGTACGGGTTTTATGATACC